TTAGGTAGCAGAGTGACGTCTTATAATAACGTCTTAATGACGTCTCTAGACGCCAATTAGACGTCATTAAGACGTCTTTAGACGTTATTCTGCTACCTGGGTTATGATATAACATCACATTTTAAAATTGTGTATGTACAATTATTATGAGACTCTGACTAGTCATTCTTATAATGTTAATGAAAGAAATAATAAAATTCCAATTTCCAAATTTAAATTTCATTTTGTTTTTAATTATATTCCAACATTTTTTATAAATTCTGACTTTTTTAAATTTTAAACTTGAGATTTTAGGAAATCTTGGAAAATTCTTAACCTCGTTGGAATACTCAAAACGATACTCACGTAAAGAAGAACGACGGGAAACTGTACTGCTAGAAGCTAGAGCTAGAATGTCACGGCCACCTGATCTCTGTTATTGTTTTGGTCGTCGACTGTCGCAGTCGTAGACAGCTGTGTGATGTGAGAAATGTTAGGAATATCGATAAAGAAGAAATAAATAATTGCCATTTCGTAAATGCTTGACTTTATTACAAAGATATAAATTTTATTACAAAACAATTAATAAAAAGTCTTGTCTTCATTACGAACAGAATTGAAATTGAACATATTGTAAATCCAAGTGTGCTATCTCTACACGCACAAACGTCTAAAAATGACACGTTTTACTAGAGCTCGTTTTATTTTGTTGCGTGTTAAAAAAAAGGTAGAATTAAATTAAAAGTTAATTGTAATTAACTGAAATTAAAAGTTAATTTAATACATTCAACCGTGTGTGTTAGATGACGTAATTTAAAACAGCGAGAAATGTGTAAGAGCTTCAGTTAATAACACACTTGAGATTTGCAGTGCAGTCATACCAGTCATATTAATATTTTACAATTTACATTACCGCATCCACTTATCCTGTTATATCTATAATCGTATAATCCATTATGCTCGACTGATGTAAGACAATAATCGATTCTAATTAGAAAATAGCCATTTAGGATTTCTGGGCCCGTATTCCGTTCCTGCCCACCGACAACTGTCGGTTCGATAAGTGTCGTTGCGCAGGTTTTTCATATCGTGTAAAAGCTGCGCAACGACACCGACAATTGTCGGTAAGCGGATTTTAGCGGAACAGAATACGGCCCCTGGATTATTATAAATATAAGCGGACATTCCGGAGTGTCGGCTATCAGTCTTTTGGAGTTTGTTTCGTGAAGACACGTCGCGATTCGCAGATGTAGTACATAAAATTTTCTTTGCGTTCCTTTTTTCGTTACATTTAATAAAAACGTTAAGTTCAGTTAATTCGTGTGTGTCATTTTGCGCGCGCTACGTTTCCTTCAAACACAGCCGTTAGTTTTTGTATCGGTCGCTTAAATTACGCATAATAACAATTACGGACAAAGATTCCGGCAGATAGCGACATATTGATTCTCATAATATACGCGCTCCGGCCCGAGGATTCTATGCGGTCTTAGACTAACGAATGGATTCTTTTCTGTATAGATATAAACTACCTGTCTATCTAGAATTGTATTTATTCTGTCGGTCTCCTTCTCGAAGTCCTGAAGCGTTTCAGACGTTAAGACGAACGGACAATTTTGCTTCGCTATCAGCTTAATGGACCGCGTCCACGTGTCTTTATGCTCGTGAATACCCAGGTTAAATCCTACAATAAAGTCCGGTTTTACGAATGACGAGCTGTGTACATAGTTATCGTATAACGCATCGTGGTACTTAAAAATCAAACTTATTTTGTTATCCGGCGATGTACAGGGATCACAAACTTCTGGGCTGTATTTATATTCTAATTCCGGCCCTATCATTACAATCGTTACTGACATCATCGTTACTGACATCATCGTTACTGATAATAAACAAGGCAAAACTTCCCATCCGATCAAGGTGAATTCCTCGGCGAAACTGGCACCAACAACATGAATGACTAAATCTTTCTTGCTTTTTGGGACATAGTTTAATAATCGCATAGCAAAAAACAGCGTCAAGGGACGTGTCAGATACTGTGAGTGGTCGGCTGCCAAGACACCGTCCGAGTCATCCCGAATAACTCCATAAATGTTTATAAAGTCGTACATATCCAGAAATTCAATGTCGAGGGAAGTTGTGTCGAGAACGTGTTTCGCGTAAGAAATCATGTCCGGCACCAAAGAATTAGTGCGATTTTCTTTTATAATTAATAAATCTGAACGAAAACATAGTTCGAGGGAATCACAGATGTTTCTGTGCATAATGTCGTCTTTATGTTTTATACAAAAGCAGGCAGCACACTTCTGACAAACCTTCAACGATTGAGCGTCCCGTTCGTGGCAAATCAGGCACTCCCTTGGAAATTTGAACATTTGCATCTCACACATCGTCAGACGACGTTTCAGCACGCGCGACACCAGCAGCATGAACATCTGCTTTATGTCGGTCCATTCCTCCGGCGTTTCTCCGCGAACATTCATGTCGTAGCCTTGCCGGCCTTGTCGCACGTTCTGTATGGCTTTGCACAAAGGTTTGTGCTGCTGCCAGTGTTGCTTCTGATGTTTCTTACTGCAATAGGAGATCATCTTGCAGTTACTGCATCGCTTCAAAGAGACGCCGTCGCCAAACCGTTTGCAAACGTGACACATGGTCGCGTAGAAGAACTTGTCATAGTTGTTATTAATTTGATTTCTCGCTTCTGATTCCATGACTTCTGCTCACACAGTCCAATCTCGTGTTATATCAAAAGTCTCCTTCGGTGTAAGAGGCAAATACCCACAGTGTTTGGATCGAATGTTGTGATTTCGCACAATTTCGCAGGTAACACGTGGGGAGCACGACTATATTGACTTCCCAGGCTTTCGACCTTCCTTCCAATGGTCCGTCTCGAAAATTTCCAAGGATATTGAAATCTATTGTTCACGTTATGCTTTAGGTTTTCAGTACTGTCATTTACATCGCATCACGAAATAAAATTTGTTGACGTTGCTTTTGTAATTAGTACAGCTGTTACCTGTAAACATTGCAATGAGATTAATTGTAATAATTAACACTTAAATTCTTACTGCTTATTTGTAATTAATACTACTTTTGATGTAACATTGCATTTTGAAATTATGTATGTAATTATAGTCATTCTCATAATGTAAATAAAAGAAAGAATCAATAAAGTGCCGATTTCTAAATTAAAATATGTCATCTTGTTCCTATAATTATTTTTGTTCGAGAATCCGCGAGTTAGAGACAGCACGAAGAGATGGACAAGCACACGCACTTAAATTAAAAACTCAAAAAAATTACAGAACAAAGTTTATAATGTAAATAAAGACAATTATATATATATATAAAAGTAATTACAAAGTGTTCCTTTTAAGAAAAATGCCGTGAGCGGTAGCGCGCACAGAAGTTAGCACGGCAAAAGCGGCTAAATCTATCAAGCGATCGAGCGAGTGCGAATTTCTAAGCGAACAGCGGTTGTATGTATGTACGAGCGGTAGTACAAGTACACTGAGCGAGTGAACAACGAAAACAAGAGCTCCTGTTTGTCGCGACTATCCTTTTATAAGATCGGAAAAACGCCCTTTCTTCGCCGATCTCCAATTAAGTTAAAGCATTTAAAACAGTTTTGGAAGCCAGGAGACGTACGCAAATTCGATTCGCCCCTGCGAAGTGAGAAACGCGAATTTCGCTTGTGTGATTGGCGGGAGGCGATCTACGTCATCGCATCGCGCAGGTTTACGGCGAGTTTTGCGTTGAAAGATCGTTGCTAGTGTTTAACAAACAAAGTTTACAAACATGGATTTTTTTTCACGTATAAAAACGATTGTTGCTTGACTTTGCAATAAAGAGAAAGTTAACGAAACTTCTCGAATTGAAATCGGCAGAAAATCCATGTTATAAACGAACGTTATATAGATTCGATTATTATTCTATGGCATTCACATGCCTGCGTTTAAGCAAATTTTAACGCTTCTGATTCGGTGATCAGATAAACGCACAGCGCAATCAACTTATGATTTCTAACATTAACACTTAAATTCTCACTGCTTGTTTGTAATTAATACTACTTTTGATGTAACATTGTATTTTAAAATCATGTATGTAATTATAGTCACTCTCATAATGTAAATGAAAGAAAGAATCAATAAAGTGCCGATTTCCAAATCAAAATATATGCCATCTTGTTCATAATTATATTCTAATATTTCTTATAATATTCTACTTTCAGAATTTCAATCCTATGGTATGAAAAATCACGATTCTTGGAATATATTGAAAAATTCTTGAAATTTCTAATAGTACAATTTCATCTAGACAGCAGGTATGTCTGAAAGGTCCGTATTCATAGTCGGATCTTATTAGAGACTGTCTTATAAGTAATATCTTAAGATGCTAATACGGCTCTGTGATTGGTTCATAAAATCTTAAGATCGTACCTAAGATGGTCTTAAATATAAGATTCGACTATGAATACCGGCCTATGATGTCTTTTAAATTATGCGTGCTGCCTGGGTCTGGTCGAATTCTCTTAATCGATTTTTGAGACTTGTGAGAAAATTCTTGGAAAATAAGAAAATCATTAGAATTTTAGACAGTAGCAGATTGTCAAAATGCATTCTTTAGAGAAAAAATTTTAAATTTTGTTAATCTCAGCACAATATAAGTGTATGTTGATAGATGTTATTAGTAACATTAATAATCTCGTTAAAAAATACATGCTCCTCGAAACGATACTCACGTACAAAAGGGTAGGAAGCCAGGACCACACACTCAATCTCTGCCATTATTGCGATCATCGACTGTCACAGGAAGCTTTTCACACATGTGATATCAAAAAATATCGAAACAGAAACAATTACCATCATAAATGCTTGCTACAAATTTATTACAAAGATATAAATATTATTATAAAAATTATCGAAAAGTTTTGTCTTCATTACAAACAGAACTAAAAGCCATTGTAATAATATTTTACGTTACCGCATCCACTACTGTTATATTTATATTCCATTTATGCCCGACTGATATAAGATAATCGACTCAACAAGTAAATAATGGCTTCTTGGATTATAAATATAATCAGACACTCCGGAGTGTCGGATTTCAGTTTTTTGCAGTTTATTTCGTAATAACGCGTCGCGATTCGCAGTTGTAGTTCATACAGTTATCTCTGCGTCCCTTTCGTTGCATTTCTTAAACGTAAAATTCCATTTAACTCGTATTCTTTCATTTCGCACACGCAACGTTTTTTTCGGCAAAAAACACAGCCTTCAGTTCGTATGGGTAGTTTAAATTACGCGTATCAGTTACGACTTAACAAAGACTTTGGTAGATAATCATATACTGATTATGATAACACACGCGCTCTGACCCAAAGTCTCTATGCGGTTTGCAACTGGCGAATGGGTTCTTTCCGCTACAGTAATAATCTAACTCCTTACCCAGGATTGTGTTCATTTTGTTCATCCCCTTCTCAAGTTCCCGTTGCTTAGAAAACGTTAAGATAAACGGACAATTCTGTTTCGCTAACGCACGTATGGATGGCGCCCATATTTCTTTATTATTATGTTCCTCAATACTTAAGTGAAATCCTACAATCAAGTCCGGTTTTGTGAATGTCGAACTGTCCACATAGTCCTCGTATGACACATCGTGGTACTCAACAAACAAACTTTTGTTCCCCAAAAAAAAGTTATCATCAGTGCGTGACGGATCCAATTTATCTTTTAATTCCGGCCCTATCATTACAATCATTATTGATGTCACGGGCTCCATTAACTGCAGGAAAATTTCCCACGTCCATAAGGTGGTTTCTTCGAGGTAATTTGCACCTACAATATGAATGATTAGAAATGTGCCTTTTAGAACATAGTTTAACAATCCCACAGCATAAAACAGCGTCAAGGGACGCGTCAGATATTCTGAGGAATAGGCTGCCCAGATATTGTACTCCATCTCCGAGTCAGCCTGAATATACACAAAAGCCTTTATAAAGTCTCTCATGTTGTGAACTGCAATAGTCGTGGAGGGACTGTGCAAGACACTATTCGGAAATTTGCAGTATCCTTCTTCTATAGAAAAAAATAATTTTATACGAAGACATAGTTCCAGAGGAGCGCAGATGTCCCAGTGGTCAATGTGGTTTTTGTGAATTTGACAAAAGCTGGCAGCACACTTCTTACAACTCTTCAACGACTTCCATTCGTGGCAAATTAGGCACTCGTTTGGAAAAAGGAACATATCCATCTCACTCATGTTCAGGTCACGTCCTAGCCTGGACGACACTAGCTGCATGAAGGTCAGCTTCTTGTCGGCCCATTCCTCCGTAGTTTGATTGCGATAATCCATGCTGTAGTTTCGCAGCACGTTCCGTATGGCTTTGCACAAAGGTTTGTGCTGCTTCCAGTGCTGCTTCTGATGTTCAGGACCACAATAGGCGATCATCCAGCAGCCATCGCATCTCTTCAATCGGACGCCGTCGCCAAACCGTTTGCAAACGTGACACATGTTCGCGTAG